ACCCCCCAGGACCTGGCCCCCTTGTCTAGTTCACTTGGTGTCCCCCTGCCTGCCTTTCTCACAGGCACAATGCCACTCAAGGGCACTGGCTGAAAGCGCAACTAGGAGCTGAAATCCAGCCCACGCTCTGCTCACCAAACCTCACGTCTGAGGGGCTGTGTCTACCTGGATGGGCTCTTTTTCTACTTTGCATGACCAAGCAGTAGTCCTGTGTCTCAGTACCTGCCACACAGCGTTACAATTACCCACCTGTCTGCTACCCCCCGCCCCTTCATCAATCAGAGTGGCCTTTGCCCCCGCTCCCACCCCAATGTCCAGACTGCCTGGGACGCTTGGACGTCTGCCAACTGGCTTGCTGGGTGGGAAGGTGAGGCTGAGCGGGAAGAGGTGACGCAGAGCCTGTCTTTGCCACGGAGGCTCTGGGAGTTTAGGAGCTGCCCCAGATGCTCAAGTCAGGGGCAGGTCCAAGGGGCTGGGCTGGGGGCAGCTTGGCTGTCCTCATGCCTGTGGAGACCGACAGACTGGGGTCTAAATGCCTACTTTTAGGAACAATTAAGGGATGTATCCACCAAAGGTAAGTGACACAAGTTAACAGCTAGTCACAGAGGTAGCAGGAGTTCAGGGGTGGGGAAGAGGTCAAGAGAGCTGCAGGAGCCAGCAGGGGTGGCTCAGGGAGGCAGAAACACTCCAAGGTGCACACAGAACCCACAGACCGTTGCCAGAACACTGAACCAGACCTTAAGCTGCAGGAACGAAAAACAACACATAACCAAAGTGCAACCTGATAAGAAAGCGTGGGAGGACTGGGAGACGCCAGTGTGATCTGTGATAAAGTTCCAGGAGGCGGTGGGGGTCGAAATCAAGTCCAGCCAGACAGGGAAGACGCTGCCCTCCTCTCCGAGGTCTGGGCCCAGTCGGTGGAGGGGCCCCTATCCTCGGGAGTCACAGGTGCCCCACCCCAGGGCTGTGGCTGATATGAGGACATTATGAGGGTGGCAGGAAGGAGGATGTTCTGTAGCGTTTAAATATATCCCAGCTTCGGGGAACTGCTTCTTCTCCAGGTAAATTTGCATAGGTGGGAGGAAGTGTCCTAAGACGGCATTGCCCAAAACTCCAGACACTGATTGTGAAGGCTTCGTGGACAAAGGGATCGACATGACCCAGGAAGGCAAAGGGAAGGGGTAGGGACGCCACTGAGCCCCACGTGGGAATAAGGAGTGAAGAGAGAGGCAGCCAGAGGGAGGGGCCATGATGTACCGATTCCAGACCCACCGACAATGGCCACGGTGCTGAGAACGTGGGGATGTTCCCAGAAACAAGACCACATCTCCCTCGTTAATCCATCCCGTCATGGATGCCACTCCCAGCCCCAACCCACGTCATCAAGAGGAAATGTGACAACCACACGGGCTGAGACGGTGAGGGGGCGGCTCAGACTGGCAGAGCCGGGGTGGTGAGAGGAGGAGTCTTCAGGGCATGCTGTGGGGTCATGGAGGAAAGCCAGCTGCTGAATGGAGGCAGGAAAGGAGAAGAGGGAAAGCCAGACAGTCTGGAGAGAGGGCTCTGGGGGCTCGTGTTGGAAGTCCCTGCAGAGGTAGGGGATCCGGAACTCTCAAGGAGTCACCCAGACGTTTGCATCAAGACAACAGACAGTACAGAGGGGAGCCTGGTCAGGTCCTCAGCACTGAGGGACGACTGCAGCTGTGTGATCACGTAATTACAGCTCTCCAGCCTCCTTGGTCGGGCAGAAACAAGGGAGGACTTCTTTGGAGCCAAGTCATCAAACAGTATGGTTTCACAGCCCTCCCCCAGAACCCCCCCCACCACAATAATGGTGAAGTCATTCCTCATGGGGACAGGCTAGCCAAGCAATATTCACAACCTAACGCAGAGTCACCCTTTAAGGGGACTGAGAGCTCTGCAGTGGGCTGAACCCAAGGGCGCAAGAGCCCACAGAGCCACTCAGCCCCCGCTGGCGCCAGTTTCCATCACTCTGAAAACCTGCTGCAGAGGTAGGACTCTGACATTCCAGAGTACCAGATGTTGATAAGAAACCAGCCCCAGGGCAGCAGAACACCTGCTGTTTCAGAATGGATACATATTTTAGTCTATTTCTCACTTTTAATACATTATGACCAAACAATTAGGGAGAATTAATTATTCTATTACTCTTTACCAGGGGAAGAGATCTTCACCCTAACAAAAAATGTAAGAACTTATCAGGAAGACAGTACTTAGAAAGACAGGAGTCTGGCTTGCCCGGTGACTGACTTGGAACCAGAGGAATCTGGACGGAGCGTGGCTGGGACCACTCGGGCCAGAAGAGAGGCCGTGATGGTAGTGTCTGTCTCCCAGCTGCACGTGAAGGTAAGATGAGATCTTGTCTGCAGAGAGGTGAGTCTAGAACACAGCTGATCAATGACGTAATTCTGCTACACCCTAAGGACGAGGTCTGTTGTCACCATAAATACTATGAAATGAGCACAGATTCGCCTTGGTACTGCCAAGCGTAGGTTCTAAGCCTCTGGTTCATAATGATTAAAGACTGAGCCTCCAGCCTGCTCTGTGACAACAGCATCATGTTTGGACAAGCACATGGTAACAGCTATTCCAAGAAATGCTTCCTTCTTTCCCAGGGTCCGGTGTGAAGAGGCGGGTATTTAGAGGCACACTTTGTTTCCGTCAGCAGGTTAGGCTGGTTTCCCAGCACAGCTGACACCCGAGACCCTGAGTTGCTGGGCACCGCCTGCCAGGCCGGTCCTGGAGCCCAGTAAGTCCTCTGGGGGGCAGAATGTCCCAGCAGGTGCTCTGGACAGGGCCAGCTTGTTGACCAGAAAACCAATCCAAACCAGTGCGAACAAACAGAGACAGGCAGCAAGCCCTCTGTGTGAGAAGCTGCAGAGTGGCTTCTGGGGCCCCTAGGGACTCCGTGGGGAAGATTTTTTTTACATATGATCTTAGCCAAAAAGCCAAGAAACGATTGGGAAAGATATTTTAAAAGTTGCAGAGAAGGGATGTTTGCCAGTGTTTTCCCACGGATTAGAGCAGGGAAGACGCTGAGCCCACTGGGGGAGAGGCCCTGGAGGACACAGGCTGAGGCCGGCGGCGACCTGAGGTCCCAGAGGCAGCAGAGCTGTCCCAGACCACGCATGAGTGCAGGGCTGCCAGCACCGCTGTCCTCCGCCAGAGCAGCCAGCTCCTCAGACACACACGCCCCACATCAGTGGGCATAAGCCTCTGCCTGGAGGCCTAGGCTGCCTCCTCGTCACTCTGGCTGCGAGGACCCTCCTCCAGGACCCCAGGATGCAGCAACCACAGGGTTAACAGCTGTCACCACAGGGAGCCTCTAAGACACTTTAATTGGTTAGGCTGGTGGTAAAATGTTTTAAAAAGCCTTCTTCCACCCCCAACAGAGGGAGCCCAACCCCAAACGGGAATTTACTGATCTGCATCATGGGGTGGGGGGGCAAAGCACCTGGTAGGGAGGCGTCTCTTTCAAAGCCCAGGTCCCAGCTGCCCCAACCGTGCACCCTTCCTTACTCCCCGAAGCACCAGGCAAACAGTGACCCCAGAGACGCTCAGTTTAAACTACGGTGGGGGTGGAGGAGGTGCCCTCTCCAACTGGAGCAAAAGCAAGGCTGCAGAGAGAGCTCCCCCACAGTGGGAAGCCAGGGTGGAGACTGTGAAAACCACTCACAGCCCAGGGAAGGGCAGCCAGCTGGGCCAATCCCAGCCCACTCACTCATCGCCCTGTCTCGTGAGGACAGCAGGCTCTTCACAGGGCTGACCTCAAGCAAGGACACCATCCCCACGCAACCAAGAAAGCCCCCGAAGTCTGAGACGCAAACATCACAAACTTCTACTTTCCATTCTTTGTCCTCTTTTGTATGTTGATCAAATAACGCACCATATATCATGAAGTTGTTAGAAATTAAGCCAGGAGCACATACTTCTACAGCCAATTAGGTCAGAATAGAGAATCAACACCAAGGCTTCACACCCTCCCCCTCCCCCTCCCCCGACACATATGCACACACAGACATACACTCTCCTCCATAAGAAATCTTTAAAAAAGAGACTGCCAGGCTTGGTAGGAACTATTAACAGCTCATTACAATAGCCTGTTTATATAGCTGCCCTGAAGCTATGATTTTTAAACCAGGTCTTTAAAGTCCACTATCTCCGGGTTTTTTTAATGTGCAGCTACCTGGATTATACACACCTTGTTGAAAATACAGGAGAAATTTCATAGCTGTGCTAGGGTTGGGTGAGGACCAAAACACAAAGGGAGACATAATCCTATAATCCACACCACACATGTCCCCTAGGAGACAAGAGGCCTATGAAACAGGTAACACATCCACGGAACAAAAAACGTTCCCTTGTCACTAGGCCAATTGGTCACCACAAATAATTTCTTTCCCTCAACAACACAAACAAGCAGGGTTTCCCTGTTTCACAGAGACGGGGAGCAGCAGGAGACCGCCTGTCTCACTGTGTGTAGCCCCAATGCCTGTTTCTAATGGCAGGACAAATCCTCAATGGAAAACGTACAAAGTAACTGAGCTGGCAAGAAATCAGAAGGAAATACCCAGACCCCGCTCTTCCTATTACACACGTAAGGCACTTTCTGAAGCTCGTGATCAAACAGGAAGAGAGAACAAAAGTTACTATATATATTTTGACTTTATCTGATTAGGTGGTTTTCTTTAACTGTTGGGCTGGATCTTAAAGCAATGCCTGTACAACAGGAAATCACCTCCAGTACAAAAATAAAGTCGTGGAATTTTGAAAACTGCCAGACGGTAGAATCCATATCCTAGTTGTTAACAATGAAAATAGGACTCCTGCTTCTTAATTTTAAAAAAAGATTAAGTATAAACTTTTGTTCTGTTAGCCTACTGTGCCTGACATTAAAATGACACGTTAAGTGGCCCCACGGGAGCCGGACAGAAAGGGGAGAGGCGGCAGACCCTCTCCAGCACAAGAGGGAGGCTTACCTGGGTGTGCCCGAGGGTTTCCAGTACCTGCAGAAGAGGTACTGTCCGTCAGCATTCACCAGGTGAGGGAGCTCCCGATAGGGAACGCTTTGCGGGGTCCGCCTGGGAGAACTTTCCTCCGGCATTCTGAAAGAATCCTTAGGTTCTGGGGAGGAAGAAGGACACATTCCAAAGTCAGAAACAGGGAAGACAAGAGATGAGAGAAACCTTGCTCAGAGTCATTAACACTTTAAGTGGTTAAAAAAAAAAAAAACCTCCATTTCAAAGACTTAAAAAATACATATGTTTCCTAAGGCTGAAAAATCCATTTGTTCTTAACAAAAATGTTCACTGTATTTTCTAAGTGCCTCATTACAGCTTTCCCCCCATTCCCATCTGTGTTTATTTTAAATCATTTCAGGAAACTTCATCTTAAAGACTATTTTAGCTGTAATCAAGTGGAAATTATAGTCAGCTCTGTGAATATAAAGACCCAGCTGCAAAAGACCCGTCTGCCTTAAAACCCTCAAGGAAGTTGCAAAGGGGCGCAACAATGAGGTGGACGACACTCCGATCAATTCCTCCTGTCTGAAATTCCAAGGATGCCATGACGAACCTGTTTCCATCACGTCCTGGCTTTTGCGTTCCTCAACCACACAGCCTCCCAAGTCAGAGCCAGTCAAGGAAGGGCTGTTCCCTCATCTTCCCGGTCCCAGGGCGGCCTGCAGGGCGCCCCACGCCCCTGCGCCCCACCCTGCGCCCTACCCCCCAGATCGTGCCTGGGCTTTCGGGGCGCGGAGCCTGGCTCGGCTCTCTGGGGCCGCCCTCCCTCGGCGAGGCGGGGAGGCGGCGCCTGCGAGCCCCCCCTACTAGTTCAGCATCACTTTTCCTAAACAAACCCCGAGGCTTAGAGAAGGGTGCCCGGGAAGCTGAGGAACCAGCCCCACGCGCCCAGGCCCTCGCACAAATGCGGGTCCCTGAGCAAAGTCACCCGGGCTCCCCACAAACTTTGCTGCCGGCCGGTCTCCGCCAGTGCAGGGAGTGCAAACCCGCTCTGTCCCTGGAGGTGCCGCCGGCGGCTTGGCTCGGGAGCCGGCACGGGGACACAGAGTTGACGGGGACAAGTTGGTTCGGAGCTGGCGCGAGGGAGCAGCGCGCGCGCACCCGTGCACACGCAGACACGCGCGCACTCGTGCACACGCGCGCAGGGGCGCGGGAGCCCACGCCGAGAGGGGACCCAGGGCTGCCCTACCCGGGGACAGCGCTACAGGTCGGGGCGGGGACAGGAGGCAGTTACCCGGGCCACGAG